TGGAGCAGAGATCAATACTCATTTACTGTCAGCTTGTCGCCCGCACCACAACTTCAGCGTCTGGCAGATTTATAAGAGCAAATTGTTTCATGAAGTTCACTGTTCATTTTTAAAGCCTGTGTGACTTTTAATGGCCAGCGAACCAAGGGAGGGAGATGGGATAAAGACAGGAAGACAGACTGCTGTTTTTGGTGGTATGCGTTTGGGTCGCCATGGCGCCAAAGAGGCAGTGAACTTGCAACAACCAGCGCACAGATTCACAGAGCTTCCTAAACACAGAAATGAACTGAAACTGAGCTGGGAAGGAGCTAGCATGAAGACTTCTGAAACAGAATGAGACTCAGTGAATACAAATGTTTACTTTGACTACACATCATCAGTTCTGACTTGAACCTACATCTCTTCCTACTCAGTAAAAAAACACTATTGTGGAAATATGTTTTACTTATGAAATCCTGTGTAGATGCTAACATTGATGTCTAAACTGGTTTGATGTAAAAAAGTGACAGCTGCCTGCTTATAGCAAATATACCTATGATCCCCTCTTATAACATTTATAACTGCCTATTTTATTAGCTCAAATATCACTAAATATGCATTAATACGCACAGTGGGAACTGCAGAAGCTAACTTCTACAGTCTTCCTTATTTCCTCTCTTGAGCCAATGAGCAATAAGGAAAATAAATAGCTTTTATGGATTGGCTGCTTTAGAAACTCTGACCAATAGAATTGCTCAGTAGCTTTGGGTCTTGGTGACTTCAACTTCCCAAGCTGAAACGCTGTTACAATATTCTACAAGCACTCAAAGGAAAAAAATTAGAATTTTCCATCAAAATCTTTCATTAGATCTAAATCTAAACAGAAACTTTCCTGTTGGACTTACAGAAATCTCTGACGTGGGCTCTGCTGTAGCTCTGCTGTAGCTCTGCTGAAGCTCTGCTGTAGCTCTGCTGTAGCTCTGCTGTAGCTCTGCTGAAGCTCTGCTGTAGCTCTGCTGAAGCTCTGCTGTAGCTCTGCTGTAGCTCTGCTGAAGCTCTGCTGAAGCTCTGCTGAAGCTCTGCTGTAGCTCTGCTGTAGCTCTGCTGAAGCTCTGCTGTAGCTCTGCTGTAGCTCTGCTGAAGCTCTGCTGAAGCTCTGCTGTAGCTCTGCTGTAGCTCTGCTGAAGCTCTGCTGTAGCTCTGCTGAAGCTCTGCTGTAGCTCTGCTGAAGCTCTGCTGTAGCTCTGCTGAAGCTCTGCTGTAGCTCTGCTGAAGCTCTGCTGAAGCTCTGCTGTAGCTCTGCTGTAGCTCTGCTGTAGCTCTGCTGAAGCTCTGCTGTAGCTCTGCTGTAGCTCTGCGTTCTGTGTCTGAGTTCCACATTTTCTTTGTTAACATGATCAAGACATGCAGACGAGGATGGATTTGTGTCCGTAATTCACATTTTAGAAGAAATAAAACTGTCCTTTGGTGACAGAGATGAAGGGGAGAAGCAGCCAGCGATGCAGCGCTACATCTGTATTCTACTGAACAAACTGAGCCCACAACAAGAAGCTACAAGGGATTCATGTCACATAATTAATTGAAGTTTATTCGCTAATTAAACTCATTAATGAATCCGTCTAAAGCGGCAACTTGCTTCAGACATGAGTAATATCAATTATTAATGAGGGAGGGCCATGGCTGGAAAAACTCTGCAGTCGTTTTCCAACACAACCCAGAACCCATAGCAACACCAAACCTGAAAACTATCAAGTATTGATTATGTAAATTAGGTCACCTTCCTTCTTTTTTTGTCTGCTAATATTTGCACGCTCGCTGACATGTCACACTAACACCATTACTTAACACTTAAAGTAGACTTTAAGTGTCTGTGAGATTCAGTTCTACTCAATTCAAAACTACTTTGTTTATCCCAATGGGAGAAAAACATTTTCTCATAACGTATCTATTCAAAGTATTTTCAAAGTGTCCTGGTTGTCATAAAAACGTGACACCGACGTATCCGGGCAGCAGAGACGGTATTCCACTGGATGACATCATCAGTTGACAGTAAGGTCTGTTAATCCACCTCCTTTGCTTTTGCCGCTCCTCTTTAAATTTGGAGGCGAGAATCTGATCCTCACCAACGTTATGACTGAGGGGAGAAATGGTTTCAACTTCCTGTTCACCTCCTCTGGTTTGGAGTTAGTTAGCTCAGGTTTTCTTTAAGCTTTTGGGGATGCAAATCACCTCCTCCGGTTGTAAAATAACATTGTTGTCATAGCCACGCATCATAACTTCCAAAGAATTTTAAAAAGTATGAAAACAATAGATACAGTTCCAGGTGCAAAGCATCCAGAACCAGAGGGAATAATTGTCCAAAAAAAACAAAACAACAAAAAAAAACAGCAATCCCTCAACCAAAACAATGAACAAAACTCTACAAAACAAAACAAACAAACAAGCAAAAAACAAATCACAACTAATGTGACAGAATGAGCTTGGAATCGAACAAGGTTGTATTTTTGCCTCCAGTTTACTG